AAAAAAAAAAAAAAAAAAAAGTTACACTACTAATATGATCAATTCACAGACACCACGCGAATGTATACAAGCCGGTTGTACACATTCATGGTGTCTGCGAATTCAGTCACGAGATGGTACTCCCATTATTGAATTCAAGTTCGCAGACAGGGTCAGACATGTTACATGCTGCGCCTGCAACATGCTGCGCCTGAAACGAGGGCCATTTTCAGGCCCTATGTTGTTTTCAGCCTAAAAGCCTGAAAACAAGGGCCTACAGGCCCTATGTCGTTTTCAGCCTAAAAGCCTGAAAACAAGGGCCTACAGGCCCTGTGTCGCTTCAGCCTGAAAGCCTGAAAACAAGGGCCTACAGGCCCTGTGTCATTTCAGCCTAAAACAGGGCCCTCCAGGCCCTGAGTCTTTTCAGCCTGAAACGGAGTGCCATTTTCAGGCCCTCATAAGATCGACCTGCCCTGAAACTCAGGCACCAGACCAGGGTTTTAGCACAGGCCATTTTGGGCCTGTTTTCAAGACCACCTTTGTTTGAGCTTCAACGCCAGGGTCTGGCATGGTTTGGCATTGGCAAGAGCAGCCTCCTGGACGGGCCAGCACTATAATATAAGACTGGCCCGCCCTGCAGGCTGCAGGTATTTCACAGGGACTTCCCAGGCACTTCACGTGCAGTTCAGGAGGCAGGAGGCAGTCTTCAGCATTCGGCAGCAGCACTCTGAAGGAGTGCTGCAGTAGTAGTAGTAGTGCTAGCAGTAGGCTTCAGCGCTGGGCGCTAGTAGGAGCTAGAGTAACACTGGAGAGAGAGAGATTTGGCGGAGGCCAGGGAAACTTCCCTGCAGCGCCATAGCTCCAGCTTCGTCTTCGAGGTACCTGCAGCACGGCGCCATCTTCGGAGGTTAGTACCTGACACATAAAAGAGAGAGAGAGTTCTTCTTCTTCCTCCTCTCAGTCCACCATCTCTTCCTCACCCTCTCGCTATCTGACTTCTCGGCAGCAGTAGACTACGGATGAGAGTGAGAGAGGTTACTAGCAGGGAATACATGCAGAGGTTACAGTGGGCGTGTTGCCCAGGATCTGATTCGTCGATTCTGAGGCAGGCATTGATTGGACATCGGCAAGGGACTATTTTCGGACTTCGCTATTGCGACCTTGGTCTTCTCCCTTGCCTCCATCTTCGTCCTTCCTCTCCCCCATCTCTCATCTATGGTACCTCCCCATGTGCGTGTACAAGGAGGGACCTTTCTTCGCCGTGTGCGTTCCCTCCTCCTCCTCTCACATGAACGATGTATGATGGGATGTCGCGTCAGTCCCGGTCAGGCAGGACAAATTCTTCCACTGCGCTATTATGTGCTTTTTTGTATGTATCAGGATGTACACTGCTTGTTGAGATTCCACTAACAATGCGTTGTCCATTCAGTCCTTTTTATCACATTGCGGATCATTGGCTATACATACATCGCCCAACTGGCCATGTAACAGACACCATGAATGAATACAAGCTATTTTTCTAGTCTGCTACAGTCACGCTGAGGTTGTGTCGTGTTTCGTTGGGTGGAGGAGTCCCGAAAGGCCATACTCATGTGACCAGCTCACATTGGGAGAATTTGGGAGAGGTGGTCGATTACTCTACTCCACCTTGCCATTCCAATGGCATCCTGAAAGGAATGCAGGGTGATTATGTTTAGCTTATTCCTTTACTTCCAGTGGAGTCCAAACACAGGTCTATATTCAGGTTAGATACAGACCTGTGTTTACAGTGACCATATTCAGGTTACTAGATAAAATACCTGTGAATGCTACCATCATGAACTCCAAATCTTCCTCCAGCTGTCAGTGAGGGGAGACAAGTTAGACAACTTATAAAGCAGTGAAACCACCACGACGATCATAAGGATTGCCTTTTTTTTTCCTTTTTTTTTCTCTCTATCCCCTTTTTTTGACAATTGCCGAGCTGCCGAGCTGCAGACTGCACCGCAGTGTTATTGGGGGACAGAAGACAAAACCATGGCCTCGGACCAGCCTTTTTTTGACAATTGCCGAGCTGCGGAGCTGCTGAGTGCACCGCAGTGTTCGTGGGGGACGGAAGACAGAACCATGGCCTCGTAACCAGGCTGCTTAATACATCGTTAGGCGGTAATTCAACAGTGCTTTGGTTCAGCAAATGTAGACCAGATTCATGGTGAATGTAGACCCAATCACGTACAAGTTTCCGTTTTTAACCATCAATAGGGAGTCACCGATTCAGCAAACGCTTATTAACGGCTTTCCTAGAGTTTCTTTGTTTTGAAATCACTGGTTTCAGTGGTTTGTGAAGATTAGCTGAACAAATCCGATGCAGAACACGCAAATCTTTAGTTCTAGAAGAATTCCTCATTTCATATCCCAAAACTACCTTCTATTCACATGACATTGTGTGAATGACTGCCTTCATTACAGCCAATTTGAGCCGAAGGCAGACCATGGGATATTTTTTTGTTCGTCCTTCCTGTCAACTTTTTTTTTGGGGACATGCTCCAATCTATTCGTGGGGAGCAACACGGCTGGGAACCGGGCCCAGCGTCCCTTATCATAATACAAGAACGAGTTACCGGGGCCATTACCCGGCTTCGGCTAAGAGCAAATGAGAAAAATGAAAAGCTCAAGAATATTCAGAAAATGTATGTCAACAAGCCTCCCAACCACTAAACAGATAGGTGAAACCTATTCAATCCACCTTCGACCGCCACTAACATGGCTGTATCCAGCACGAACCCAAGCTCTTCCAGGCCTCATGCTCCCTTCAGGCTAGGTTACAGAGCTGCACCACCTTGCTACCGGCCAGCATTGCTTCAGTTACGACCCCCGATGACCACAAGGACTGCCCCCGCAAACAGCCCCCCAGATCTCTCTACCAGGCCTCACGCCCCCATTAGGCTAGGTTCACAGAGTTGCGCCACCTGGCTCCGGCTCCGGCCAGTGTTGCTCCAGCATCGGTTTTCGAGGGCCACGGACTTTTCAACCACCCTATGCAGGATCAAGGATGAATTGCCAGATAACACCTATTCCTACAATCCTCCTTGAGAGGCAAGCCTAATTGAAATAACGAGGAAGAAAAACTCAGAAATATTCAAAAAATGCATGTCAACAAGCCTCCCAAACTCAAAACAGATAGGTAAAACCTACTCAAAATACCTTCGACCGCCACCAGCATGGATGTTTCCAGCACGAATCAAAGCTCTTCCAGGCCTCATGCTCCCTTCAAGCTGGGTTACAGGGTTGCGCCACCTTGCTCCAGCACCGGCCCACATTGCTTCAGTCACCACCCCCAATAACCCTGAGACTGCCCCTACAAACAGCCTCCCAGATCTCTACCAGGCCTCTCGCCCCCACTAGGCTAGGTTACAGAGTTGCGCCACCTGGCTTTGGCTCCGGCCAGCGTTGCTCCAGCATCGGTTATCGAGAGCCACCGAATTTTCAACCACCCTATGCAGAATCAAGGATGAATTGCCAGGTAACACCTATTCCTACAATCCTCCTTGAGAGGCGAGCCAGGAAGAAAAAGATCTAATGATGACAACTAACCTAATGCGAATAATAGTTGTAATGAGAATGGCAAAAATGGTGATGATGACAATAGTGATAATGCTAATGATGATTCCTGTCAACTTGTGAAACTTGCAAGACTTCTTTCAGGAAGGGAATTATGCCTTTGCGGGCCTTCGGACGTGATTTTGCAGTATCTTTTTCTTCCCCCGTTCCATCTGCCAACGGCCCAGCAGGTCTGAGACTTGAACTGTGGTCACTGGCATGCAGGGTACTAGGATAGTAATAGCACCGTCCATCCACTGTAGAGAATCTACAGATCGCACGGCATTCAACTTTGAGTCCCCCATCCACGGTTGAAAACCGTTTCAAAAGTCAAAAGTTCAGACTTTTAGTTACACGGTATTCAACGCCCATCCACGGTTGGTTGGAAACCGTTTCAAAAGTCAAAGTTTCACAGACTTTAGTTAAACTTGAAATGTTATGCTCCCTTCGCGGGATCAAATTGAGCAGAGTCGTCACCCTGTACGGGGACGGCCTGTCCGTACTTCCGTACGAGCGTACGTACGGGCCCTTAGCGCCCGTACGGCCCATACGTACGGACTTTGGGCCCGCCATACACGGCCTTCCGAAGGGGTGTTGAGGGGGTGGATGGGCCCGGGGGGGGGTCGGATGTCTGGGAGCAACCCCCCTCCCCCCCAAATTCAAAAAAAAAAAAAAAAAAAACTTTTTTTTCTGTCCCGGGTGCTAAAAATAAAAATAAAAAAATTGATTGATTGATTAGTTGGTTGATCGATTGATGGATGGATTGATTGTTTGATTGATTTTTTGGTTGATTGGTTGGTTGATTTTGAATTTTTGATTGATTGATTGATCGTGAAAAAAAAAACGAAAAAAAAAAAAAAAAAAAATCCATTCGAAAGAAAGATAGGTTGATTGATTGATTTGATTGATTGATATGCAGTGGGGGGTTCACCTCCCCCCCCCCGAACACACACACACACACACACACACAAACGATCGCGACCCTTTTTTTTTTTTTTTTTTTTTTTTT